GATACCACGCCATGTTTACCAGTGGTGAAAACTTGGGCCACTTGCCGAAACAACTCCGTATTGAAATAAGGGATATTACTGTAGAAGAATCATGAAGCCCAGCGGGCAGAACAACTTCTACCGAAAACGCTCTTTTTTCTGAGGAGTGACGCTTCTAGCGTACTGTTGTGGAAAAACTGAACGCAAAAATAGGAAACGTAGACACAGCACTTAGTTGTTATCATTAAAACCAGAGAAAATGCAATAAATGTAAAAAAACTTGACAACTTACAAAGGCTTGATGCCTGTTTGACTGGCCGCATAACCAGGTCGCAGTTTCTCGATAGGCTCGCACGGTAGCGGACCGAAGAGGAGTTCCTCGCTGAAGGTGTTAAAGTAAATAATCATGTTTAGAGGTAGAGGAAATCTGACTCTGAGGCCCAGCATACAATGGTAAAAGATAATTAAGAATGAACTGAAGGCTCAAGTAGGTGGAGATTAAAGATGATGGCAAGATAATACAAGAAGGTGGGAAGAGATAAAGAGAAATATTTTAAAAACATTTCTTTTCTAAAGCTGCGCGTACGGTTTCACCATGCCTAAGACAACAATAAAATGGGTTAATGAGTTGTTGCAAATTTAATGACCACTAAATTTCGGTTTCGTTTCCATTCGATGACCGACTGTGGGAGACGAGAGCAAGGCATGGTTAGGATTAGATGAACCCAATAGATGTCACTCACTATGAATATTCTGGTGACCTGGGCTCTAAATGGCCTCTACAATTAAGGATGGCGTTTATTTTCCGTGGGGCCTTGAAGCTATACTTGTACCATAAAACCTTTAGTAACATATAAATAATGGTGCCACAAGAGTTTCTAAAAGTCTGGACTGACTTCTCCTCCTTCGCGGCAAGCTGCAGAGTGGCCTCAAGCTCAATCAGACGACATCGTAGTTCATTGCGTTCGTAGAACAGACTGCGAAGCTCCTCTAGGCTGAGGAGACTGTCTTCGGGGTAGGCCGTTCCACTGGCAGTTTCTACGG